TTAAGTAGTTGAACGGGTACATTGATTTCATAGAATGTGGTGACGCTACAAGATATCGAACTAAGTCAGCACCATTCAAGCACACCCGGGCAGCCCTCTTCAGAGTACGTGGGTCTCAGAGAAGCCAGAAAAGATAATAGAAAAGCACAAAGTACAAGTCCAGGTTACGAGCTTCCTTATCCAGCAAAACGCTCCTGGGAAGTTCCAAGACATCACGTTACCATCGATAAAGTCATTGGTAAAGGTGCTTTTGGACAGGTTGCCAAGGGAACGGCAGTAGGACTTCAAGGGAGGCCTGATACGACTACAGTGGCCATTAAGATGCTCAAACGTGAGTCATGTACTTATTTCAGGACATTTCTTACCGTTTTTTTGTTTTTTTTTGTTTTGCATATCATTAACATTTGCTGTTTAACTCTCCAGCTAACGCTAAGGTATCGTACAAAAGGGAATTGATGAAAGAACTTGAAACGATGAAGAAGCTTAAAAAACATCCTCACGTCATCAAACTCTTGGGATGTGTTACGGAATCTGGTATGTTTTGATTATGCAGGTTTTTGATGCCAAACGCATTTTCCTTGTAAATTTACAAAAAAGGCAATAACAATTCGCTTTAATTTTTAGGAAAACGCTTTCTTCTTTGTTTTCAGAGGAACTCCTGGTACTGATTGAATATGTCCCTTTTGGAGATCTGCTTGGTTACCTGAGAAAGAGCCGTGGATTAAATGACACTTATTACAAAGACCCGGATATCAAACCTCGAACCAATCTGACGTCACAGCAGTTGATGAAGTTTGCCTGGCAAATCGCTGATGGCATGAGTTACCTGTCCTCAGAATCTGTAAGTTAACTAACAAATGCAAAAGACGTAATTTAATTCTAAAATATTCCTTGTAGGGCGTACCGTCATGGTAAGTTTTTCTGACATGCATACTATTTCATATTTTGCAAACATTTTCTTACCGTTTGGTCTAGGGCTTTTTCTGTAGGGCGCACCCTCCAATTTTCAACGCTATCACCCTTGCTTTTTTGTTATTAACATGATTGCAATCGTTGTGCAGCCTTGCAGATGTACCTCACCCTCGACTTCTTCTGGTCTCACTGACTCCCATAAAGTTTTCAATTGTCAACAGTTCACTGATTATCGAAAGAGAATTTTCTCCAATTCTCCTGGAAACTGTAACAGTACTAATGCATTTTAATTTATTATCACTTGGGCTTGTAAGAAATACGCGCGCTGTTGAATTCGCTAAAAGCGGATAATTTTAGATCTGAACTTTTTTTTCAGTTCCTCTTTTAATTACTGATTCTCCCTTCTTTCACAATCCATTCCTTTAGATCATCCACCGAGATCTTGCAGCCCGTAATGTGTTGGTTGGACAAAACGAAACGTGTAAGGTGACAGACTTTGGGATGGCCAGAGATGTGCAACAGGAAAATATTTATGAACGAAAAACAAAGGTAATACAAAAATGGGGGGTACTCAGTTAAGCTCAGTCACCTTACACAATAACTCTTGTGGCAGAGGTAACATGTTTATGGTTTTCGATCAGGATATCTCTGGATTGGACCTGATAAGGAAATAACGGATACTTATCGAGTGCTATTTCATCTATAACTGTCGTTGATTTCTCGCTAACTATTATTTTTGTTCTCTTTCATAAATCTTTAGGGCCGTCTTCCAGTGAAGTGGACAGCTTATGAGGCGTTGTTTTATGGTACCTATACCACCAAAAGTGACGTGTAAGTATATCCGATCATAATTGTGAAAGATGACGTCTATTAAACAAGTGGTTCATGCTTAGCGTGCGTACATAGAGGTAAGGATTGGTATGGATGTTCGTGGGAAGTTTGGAGAGCACAAGAGAAGTGTAAGAGTTCCTTTAGGAGCGGCGGACAGCAATTCTTGCTTCTTGACTGCTCCCCAGACTTTCCAAGTGCATCCACAACTCGATATACGCACAGTTACAGGCATTAACTAATTGTTGTATGACATAGCAGACACAATTTGTCCACGATATAATAGTCGCGTGCTACCTGAAAGTAATAAGTAAAAGGTAAGGCAATAATGACAAGAAGTATTTCGAGTTTAAAACTTTTTTCAAAGAAGTGCTAAATATGTTGTTTTTAGAGCGAAGAATGTGTGAATTTCTTGCGCCTACCAGTCTCACGAAGTGTTAGGAATTACATCAAGGATTCTAACGAAATGCTATCGAAAATACTCGAAAAAATAATAATTACCGATCCGAAGAAGAGTCCAAACGTCGCAAAGCCTCATTTGAGATCAGCAAGTTCAGTTTTCTTTTTCAAGCCATCACTCGTGTTGCGTCGGGGAATCGAAGTATCGTTAACACTAAAGCTAATTCCGTCGCCTTAAGATTTAAATGTCCATTCAGTTTCCAAATCTAGTGATATTTGGCATACTTACTTTTCACTTTGTGCCTCAAATTCAGTCTTAAAAACGACTGGAACCCATGGCTTAACTAGAAGGGGGCCTTGCAGCAAATACACTTGCACACATACAACGGCCGTGCGTCCTTAGAGATAGTAGACATTCTACAATGACTCAATAGCTAGGAATAAGATGAAAGAAGTGCGCACTAACTTATAAATTTTCCTCCTGTAAATGTTATCACTGTAAAAAGGGATTAAAAAGTTTGTCAAAAAGATATTCGTTTTGTCTTATATAATGTTTATGTCTTCAGCCAGCCATTTTACTCATGTTTTCTTTGCCTCCCTGCAGATGGAGTTATGGAGTTGTCCTTTACGAGATTTTCACCATAGGTAACGTCTGATGGAAATTTAAGAGACTGCAGAGATTTTTTTGCCATACACGTATTTGAACTGAACAATTTTGTAACCGAAGTAGTTGTGCTCATCCATTTATTTAAAATATCCACACGTCTACGGTACTAAACTTGAGGAGGGAAAATGCATATGCAAGAAATAAACTCACAATAAAGAAAAAGATTTATGTGCATAACTATACAGAGCATTTATAAACAACGAGTCTGCTTCTAAAAAGTGGACATAAACGTTAATGCACAGGACTAAATCTATACACAAAACTTAACAAATTATTCAACATAAGTTTCGTAACATCATGTAGCGATATAAATATCAACCACAAGTACACAACTAATGAAACGTACAAACACTCACAGGTAATTAACACGCGAAAGCAAAACACACGGAAAACGGTAGAGAAGCAGGTTTCGCGAATAGCAATGCATTCTGTTCAGGTAGACAACTCCCTATGCAAATTCATACTCCATCAAAATGACATAGATGATGCTTTCATTGATGGTCGTTGTTTAAGACATTAACATTCCGACTGTCTTGTTGAACTCTTTCAGGCGGTTCACCTTACCCAAGAATGAATGGAAAAAAAATTGCCAACCTACTTGAAGAGGGATACAGAATGCCTAAGCCACAACACGTGGATGATCAATTGTAAGCTTCTATTAAGTCTTTTTCCTTCCTTGCAACAGGAAATATTCTATAAACTCTTTCACATCAACTGATGTTTGATGTTCACAAGATGAAATAATCCTGTATTCCATATAAAAAATTCTAGGTATCAGATCATGATGAGATGCTGGCAAAATGATCCAGATGAAAGACCAACTTTCACTGAATTAAAAAATCAGCTTAAAGACAAGGAAACTCTACACAAGGTGAGAATTATGGTGGACATGGCGATTTTCTTTTACGCTGGAGTATCTTTAAATTCATAGCTTGTCATTCAGATAGCCTTACTTGATATGTACTCATCTCTTCCAATTTGTGCGAAGTTTGGATTGCTTCTTCCTGTTGTTTCCTTGAAGCAAACAAGTAAAGGTTATTATCGGTTGTTATCGGTATATGAGAAGCAAAATAAAATGTTCCAACAACAGAAAAATCTTTATGGTCATTATATAAAAGATAATAAGACTATTGCAAAATTGCACTGAAATTCCCCCCAAAAAAGCGAACAATAACGTCTTGTAATTCTAAAAATACTGCTACCTGACAGTTAATGTGGATAACTCATGATATAACGTAAAGGGGGAACACATTCGGTTTCATAATGCTATCTCCCTTTTTCTCTTTAGAGGCTGATCAACATGAGAATGTACGACAAGAAGTTGTATGCAAACGTCGAGGATTTAATAGTGTAGTTAGGTACACGTCCTCAGCGTTTGATTGGCGAACTGTTTGAACATTTTGCCACAATAAGTTTCACGGAATGATCATCCTCGACTTAAGCGCTTACTTTGTTAGGGAGTTTTACGAATCGGTCAGGTAACACATTTAATTCTAATTTAGTTTCATTTTCCATAAAGGTGAAGCTTTATTACGTCTAAGTTTTCGTATTCATAGTCAAATATACCGACATTTTGCTGTTTAGCATCTTAAGTACATGCACGCTTGCTTTTGTTCAATTTTCTTATTATTTTTTTGAACGAATAAAGTCGTTCAAGACTGAATCAAATTAACAGATTTAGAAAGCCGTGCCGCAATCAAATTGATTGTCATTTTCTTTTATAGCGAGAGCATGACTTTCTTGTCTTAGTTTTTACCAGCGCTGATCAAAAGTTTAAGACGTAAAAAAGTGCAAACCCGAACTTTTCTTAAATTTTTTATTTCTGACTTCAATTCGCCGAACATTTGTTCATCGCTATAAAGATGACAATAACAACAAATAACACTGAATAATAGAGAAGGTAAGCTTCGTGATATTTCATTTTGATAAACTTCATCATGAGGCAAGTTTATTAATAAATTAATTCATGATAAAATTAACAGCATCCCATTCCTAGAGATTTCATACAGGATTTAAGAAATGTATCAAAGAAAAGCCTTTACGTTGTTTTAAGCCTTGCTCAATTAAAAGTGAACTAAGCCCTGGAATCTTGGATCGCTTGCCAACGATCGCGTTTCCTATTTGGAATCTAGCATAAATGTAGCGGTAAATTTTTACAAATACACCGAATAAAACAAAGAATGGGACCAGGTTATCCTGGAAATGAGTTCTGAAATCATTCCATACAACATTATCTCGTCTATAAGTGCACAATTTACGCAAATCTTAGGCGTTTTGATCGCGACGCGAAAACTAGCGTAATGACGTCCTGAACTTGTCGGGGAGAACGGCAAAGCCAACACCGGAAGTCGAAATAGAGTCGTGTCCAGACTATCCCCGCGCTTTCCCGTTCTGAAATGATGTTCCCGTCCTCTTGCTAAATCACTCTAATAATTCCTTTCTGAAGACTGATTATAGCCATATTTTTCTTCTCATCTTTGTATCGTAGGTTATCTATTGGTAGTAAACAAATTTCAAAATATTGAAACACAACGGCAACCCTTGCGCTTCGATACGGTTGTCAGTTAGTGTAAATTTCGAAGTCTATGCTGTTACTGACTGTGAGTTGTCAGAAGTCAAGTCATTTGATGCAATTTACCTTTCGTCCTTCGAAGTTCTTTTTTCAAAACTGAATCACATCTGCATAAGTTACAAATCTCTGTCATATGTAGAACCCAATTACTCCTCGGTCACCTTGTAACTTTTGTAAGTGAACAAGTGAATTCGAGTTTACACTTTCTCTATACTCTACAAGATAAGAAGCGTAGAAGCAGTCTCGTCTGGGAGTTTTGATGAATATCTTGCAATCGTTGATTCAAGCAAATTACGTCTCGGGTTATGTTTTGAGAAACAAAATCGATCTCAAATGCTACATAATCCATTTTGTTACACAATAGAGCAAGCAGAACGGCTCGATCCCGCTTCTGAACTGAACACTTGGTAAATAAGAAAAAGAACGGTTAGGAGATGAAAGGTGGTTCCTTTCACCGATAGCAATTTAATCGCAACCCGTGACACTTTACCCGCAACGCATTAGGAAATGGGAGAAATATATAAAGTGCGAGAGGATAGGACGTTCACAAGTGTGGGCATAGTGAAGACACTGGTGTGGTGTGCCGACCTGCATGTAAAGCAACGGTTTACGAAGGTTTTAAATTTATTGAAACTGTACTATCCCCTTAGTGAAAATGCTGGAGATTATTAAAAACTAAATATTTATTTTTTTAATGTGAACACGTCACGAGACTTAATATGCCCCAGCTAAAGCTAGGGAAAATCCGATGTTATGATCCATCAAACATTTTTGCTCGTATGCGATTGGTCTAAATCATCACGTGACCAAATATGAGCTAAAACTATGGGATATCAGAGGATATCACCCGAATGATGTTCTCCAATTTTCAAACCCTTCGTCCACTACGACAAGTCTTCGTTTAAAATTTAATTCAAGATGAAAGAGACTTTGTGTTTGTTACAGAAGAAGAGAAATATTTGTTTTGTTCATAAAGCCGTAACAGATAACACTCAAAAGAAGAAATCCCGCACCGTAAACAGGAGGCTATTCGTAAATATTTTTTCACGCGCATTGCAATATTTCACAAAAATATGCTGGTATGTTTGCCCTTAGACATTATCTGGTCATTGAAGCTGATAGTTTTCCTCGAGTTTCGCTCTCAGGAAACTGTTTGCATCTTGGAACAGACATTGTACGCGGACAGATATCCGTGCATATTTTCGCGCCAAATAGAGGCTATTTTCTACATATTCCCCAAGTGATATTCCCCAGTTTCAAAATCACGATCACGCGTTGGATATGCGATCATAGATGGCTAAAATCATCTCATATCCAACAAGCACGGGTGGAATAATTGTTTTAGTAAAACGCCCTAAAATATAGATAAATCTCATCAACTTTACTTTGTGAGAACAAACGGAATGTTACAATGTACAAAAACACTTCCGGTTAAACTAGTCTTCGTGAGCACGCATGGTATGATGGCTCATTACCCATGATGGCTAAGCCAATGAAAACTCTTGAATTGCATTATCCGATGATCAAGTTTTTAATAATCTGTGATAGACAATGAGTAGCTTGAGTAGTGTAATAGTGTGCTGGTGTAAATAAAGTAAAATGAAAACATGTTCATGTTGAGCTGTGAACGACTATCAGATTTGTGCTAAAACAACTTTGCGTTACAGTGTATTCGGGTTTCTCCATCATCAACTATCACGCGATAGAAATCTTAAAAAATTAAAATTATTATTAAAATTAGATAAAAAAAATTAATTTGCATACAGCAGTATGAAAATTAATTTTTTCCGTACTCCTGTTTCAGAATTTGAGGTCTACACCCCTGCCCTTTACATTGGTAAGTGTTCGCAATGTTGTTGCTTAAACCCTGTGGGAAAATGAAAAATATTAATAATACCTCGAATTCGCCTGGCTGTTTGTTTTTTTCAGCTCATTAGGTGGTATTAAAGAGATGTTAGAAGGATTACAATACAACGCCTCAGTTTTCACTCACGTTCCTTGGCATGGTTAGATTCACCTGCAAAAACGGGACAGTTTCTTTTTCGTTTCGGGGGATAACCATCTTCTAATTGCCTGTAGTTGCCTCTATTAGAGTTGACCGTTGTTGCTTGAGAACGAGGTTCAATCAGCCCTTTGGAGTTCTTGTTATACGCCGACGAATTATTTACTTGTGTCAAAATTGGATTTTTAAACTAAAACTCGAAACTTAAATCGAAGTCCAACACGAACTCGAACTTGAAAACAAATTCGAGTACACCTTACTCTCCCTAAGCAGAGACCATAGTGATTGACATACCACGTCCACTATTTCAAACTTCAATCCTTCATTTTAACCAGAATCGAAGTTCTTCGTTTTTTAATGTTGTTGGTGATCTCCCGGCAAGAGAAGCTCCTGGAATATCGTCCTCTGTAAGCCCACTTGCAGCCATTCGTGACAGTCAAGACACAAGGAAAAGCCTGGCCCCACGACCTCGCTTTCGTGCAACTCGACCTGGGCCGTCCGAGTGACCTCCATAATTGCATTCAGTGTATAGCGATTGATATAACACGTTCACTATGTCAAACTTCAGTCCTTTGGTCAACACACGTGTGAAGTCGCTTCCGGTAGGTGGAGAACCACGGTCTGACGAAAAAAAAAATGCGGGAAAATTAGAGCGGGAATATTAAACATCTCGTGTGCAAGGTCTGGAATGGATTTGCCATTTAGGAAATTAAAGGATTTTGTGCCCACAGACAGAACGTTTGGCTACTTTGACAAAGTGGATGCGGCATACCAACTTCTACGTGAATTCGAAACAATAACAACGATAAGATTGGAAAAGATCAAGTTGAAATCTAACACTTCGCCGAGATAAGTATCGCTTTGCATTAAACTGCACATAGAGCTCTCACGCAAACGAATTCAATCTCACGCTCTCACCCTGAACTAGGTTTTTAATTTAAACGTTTGATTTTAAGTTAGCAAACTGCTGCTTAAGCTAGGTACAGCAAGGTGATACCTTCGGCATCACAAGCGACGGCTATGCGTTTAAAAAATGTCACCTTTTGGCAGAAAACCAAACTTGGGGAACTGTCACACAACGTGCGTGACTGAAATACTGCCCCTGTTGTGTTCTAATTTTTAATAAACTGGTAGACGGTGAAAGGAGCCCATTATTAAGCAATGGGCTTCTGACGGTGAAAGATCTAAAAAAAAGTTTTCTTCGAAGATCCTGCGGCTGGACATAACAGGATAATGATCATCGTTGGGAGAGAAGTATCTGAATGTTAGCATATGGTAGACCGTCACGCCAAGGAAAAGAAAAGTAGCCAGTAAAAAAAAAGGGTGAGAAAATAACCTTGAAGAAAAAAGAAAGTAAAACAAGCATAATTTGTTTAAATTAATATCTCATCTTGCAGATGGACGGAGACCACTGTCTCGTTTCAAAAAGAAAAATGTTTAAGTGGACTATTAAGAAGCTCAATTGCCCAACTAAGGTGGTTATCTGAGAAGACGCTGCGATTACCTGATTGTAAGGTACCTCCGCAATAGCCCCAGACAAACAGTTTTTAAATTACTGGGTTTTTTTATCTTTGTCGGACAATGTTAATCAATTATTGGCGAATTACCCAGATAAAATAAAAAACCGCCAGTGAAGTAAAAACGTTATTGATTCTGTTAACTTTTCCTCATGTAGGTTAAAATTTCGTACTAGGTGAAGCGTCACTTCCACACTTTCGCCTTGAGAGTACGGTCCCTACAATACCCGAACACGATCAAAAGATCGTTTGATGTCTGAACTTTATTTCGGTACATGAAGTCCTTTTTAGAACTGAACTTAGGTATCCTTTTAAATCTGAAATAACTGTTTAATTTGCTTTTGAATTCTTAGTTACATGGACCATGGAACACATGAAACAGAGCTCCTACCTAGATGTGATACGTCTGACGTAACAGTTGTTTTCTCAGTGCAAAAATGCCTTTTTAGCAAAAAAGTTGATTTGCCAAAGAAATATCATAGCAGTTATATACATTATTTAAGCTGTGAAAAGAGAGGCCTAAAAAAAATTCAAGTGTATTTATTTAAACATACAGCCTGCACGAATTTCAGATATTCTTTGATCTCGTCTAAGATTGTTCACATTCAATAATTTTGTCCGCAGTTTGAAAACCACATGGCAATGTATTACTTGTACATTTAAATCAATATAAATATGGCCTTTCATATATGAGATAATAAATAATTGGCCTGCTCACAGAGGGCTCATTACTATGTGAAAAGTTAACTTTAATAATTCTAGCTCTGGTGGGTAGGTATGGTTTCCAGCTTAATCATGATGTAAAGACTTGTGTCAAACAAATTTAAGATGTGATATTAAAATGTCTCTCCGGAAATTAATACATATTTTATACTGGGATGTCTCAAGAGGACTAAGAGATGGCTCATAGGGACCCCTATAAGCGACGGCAAAAGATGTTTGTTTGTACAATATGCACGACAAAAGCTTCACACGCTACAAACTTATGAAAACAAACATTTATGGAAACTTCCAACTTACCTTAAAGAATTGTTATTCTTTGCAGAAGAACATAGATTTAATGGCCGCCATATTGAATATTTGCCGAACATTCTTCAGAGACG